GATGCGGCTGGTGTTGTTGTTGTTGTTGGTTTTGCTGTGCTGGTAGTAGTTGTTGTTGTGTTTGTTGCTGGATTTGATGGGTTTGTTGTTGAGATTGTTGTTGGTTTTGCTGTAATTGTTGTTGCTGTAATTGTTGTTGCTGTAATTGTTGTTGTTGTGGTTGTTGACATTGTTGCAGCCGTTGTTGGTTCTGTTGCGAATTTTGTTGCTGTTCAAGTGCAAACCCGCTCATCATGACACATTTTTGTATCCAATATAGAATGCAATGATAAACCTTCAAAACGATTCACAAACAAAAACCCAGCCCACCAACATTTACAAATAGTTAACTAAATTAATTTAAAAACAAGAGATATTATTTTAAAAACTAATAATACAACATGAGCAGCATCAGCCAGCGATCTTCGGTAAAACTATGAATTCATTAAAATTTGATTATGCCAGTTCGATTAAAATTTCTGAAAATTTCTGAATATTTTTACCACACGATAAACTGATTAATATAAATTCGTTGGGCTTTTATAAGTGCATACACTTGTCCGTATTCTCACATATATATATATATATATATATATATATATATATATATATATATAGGTACATAAATCGGTGTATGTATGGGCTAATGTTTGTTTGTTTGCTTGTTTGTATGTATGTATGTGTGTATGTATGTATGTATGTATGTATGTATGTATGTATGTATGTATGTATGTATGTATGTATGTATGTATGTATGTATGTATGTATGTATGTATGTATGTATGTATGTATGTATGTATGTATGTATGTATGTATGTATGTATGTATGTATGTATGTAGGTATGTATGTATGTATGTATGTATGTATGTATGTATGTATGTATGTATGTATGTATGTATGTATGTATGTAGGTATGTATGTATGTATGTATGTATGTATGTATGTATGTATGTATGTGCGTGTACACTCGTAAATACTACTTCTCTACACCACTTAAATATTAGTGCAAAGTATAAATTTTAATACGCCATAAACAGATACCCAATATGTATATATATTCCATTCATCCATTTGTTCCGTAGTAATCTCAGTCAGTCGGACAATCAAATACACACACACACACACGCACACACAGACACACACAAACTTACACAAAAACTTACAAACACACACACACACATATACACACAAAATAATTTATATTTCATGTACTCACACACACACACACATACACACACACAAACTTACACATATACACAAAAAATAATCCATATTTCGTGTTAATTCCTCTTTAAGTTAGTATCCTTTAGTGAAATTTTTGAAAGATTACTAGGAGTAATTGAATTTCAATTTCAGCGAAGAAAGAAATTAATACATTCTAAAAGGGAGTGCTAATTTATCAAGGGCGGCCCTACAAAGTTGCATTAATTTCATCCAATTATCTATTCATTCATTCACTTAATCATCCATCCAATCCATCCATCCATCCATACATTCATCCATCTATCCATCCATCCATCTTTAATTGGAAAGAATAAGCTCGCCATAGAATAAATAATGCACCGTAATTTGTAACAAACGACTTGCCATAAATGTATCGTGTATCTTGTTTCTTTGGTTACATCTCTTCCTGTCTGCTGCTCTCTTCTGCATTGTGTTTCGCTGCTAACTTTTGATACGTTAGTCAGGCGCGGAAACAAATTAAAAGGCGGTAAGTGGAGATTCTGTATTATTGTGTACTGTAAATAAAACTTGATAAGGCAAGCGCGTACACACGTATCCTCCACACACACGTGTATATATTCACATACACACACACACACACATTCACACACAAACATACACGTTCATATATGCACTCACATATACACACGCATATTCACGCACACACATAAACACTCACAGGTACACACATTCACACATCCACACCCACATATTCACATAAACACACACACACACACACACACACATACTTGTAAATATAATCAAACACACACATACAAAAAAGAAAGATTTAAAAAGAGATAGATAGATGGAATTGATGATGAATGGAAAGATAGGTAATGAAAAAGAGAGAGAAAGAGAGAGAAAGAAAGAGAGAGAGAGAGAGAGAGAGAGAGAGAGAGAAAGACTCAAATAAACATATCACACACACAATACAATAAAAATGTATATTTATACATTTAAATGTTTAAATAGCACTCTGAACTATACTATTGTTGAATCGCTGAACCGACAAACTCTAAAGATAGATTAGATTTATTATTACGTGACATAACATTGTACCAGATAAGTTCACGTCAAAGTTGACTTCTTTCTCTCAATGGTGAAAGATTTCCATGAATGAATGAAACTCTGAGTCGATAGATGGATGGATGGAATATATTGGCCAGGGTGAATAAACAGGATGAATAAACGAGTGAGAATGATGGGAAAAAGAAAGAGAAAGAGAGAGAGAGAGAGAGAGAGAGAGAGAGAGAGAGAGTGAAAGAATAAAGAAACATGGAGGTAACGTGCAACGAAAAACCAATGAAAACAGACATTTTAGAGAAAATAAAGATACCGCAGTAGTACAAAGAACTATAATATTTTTATTGACGATACCTTTCATATTTGATCGTTTTAAAAGTTCAGAACTTCTTCATCGTCGTCATCATATCATTCTTAATCAGTCATCATCATCATCATCATTAACATCATCATTATCGTCACTACCGCCACCACCATCATCATCATCATCACGACCCTTACAACTGCATTAATAATTTATCCAGATCCAGCAATAATAAAAAACCCAGAAGCCAATAAATTGAGCCAAAGACTATAAAACAAAAACTAACCTTTCAAACTTAAGCGCTATAAAAATTTATATTTCCCAACGCATTTGTTTTCATACGTTAATTTAGTATTACACACGCCCGCGCAGTTACCAAAGACAATAAAATGCCTGAACTTTGTGCTTCATAAATGAACGTCGTGTATAATGTAAAAACGTTTATTGGCTTTCCATGACATTACGATGACGTCATTGTTGTTTTGTTATTATAATTATTCTTCTTACGTCATCGTTATAATTATGCATAATTTCTATACGCATATGACGTAATTATATTATTTGAACAATGATGATAACATCAGAGTTGTTGTTGCTGTGGATGATGTTGAAGTTGTCGATGTTGTTGATGTTGTTGTTGTTGATGTTATTGATGTTGATGTTGTTGATGTTTACTTTCTTGAGACAAAACGCACACTTCTTATGTTTGAATGTTTGAAATGGGCATCAAGCACACATCAACAGTCAGATGTATAAACACAAACAAACATAAACACATAAAAACACACACAAACAGACAAGCAAGCAAACAAAAAACTGACAAACACACGCACAAACTGTTTAGAGTTGCAACACACACACACACACATACCCACATGCTTACAAACACAAATACACACACACACGCACACAAACACGCAAACAAACACACACACACAAACTTGTGCATATTTTTGATATACGTACTAACTCAAGTGTTTCTCGTTCGCCTGTAGTCACCTGCTCTTTTATAATCATTTTCAATCAATCAATCAGTCAACAGACCAACCGACCGGCCAGTCGATTATTCAGCTAACCAATCAATCAACCAACCAGCCAATCAATCAATCAACCAACCAGCCAACCAACTAGTAAATCAACCAGCCATACAAACATGCAACTGAAACAATTAATCACCCATTTAGTCAATCAGTCAGTAATTTTAGTAATCAATCAGTCAATCAATCAATCAGTCAATCAATCAATTAATTAGTCAATCGATCAATCAATCCATCAATCAATTGGGTGATCTGTCAATCGTTATACTAATCGATCACTCGGTTAGCCGAGCAAGCGTTTAACACTTTCATCATAAGACCGGCAAACAAAACATCGAATTTCATTCAGTCTGGTTTTTAAATAAAAATATTTGAATGGGTACATATGAAAAAAAAATGATATAGAATGATAATAATGATAGTAATAGTAATAATAATAATAATAATAATAATAATAATAATAATAATAATAATAATAATAATAATAGGTGATCAATCAATCATTCCTTCATTTTTTTTCATTCATTTCTTAAGTCATTCAAGTATTACTTTTCCGTGCTTAACGTATCAAACAATTCACCAATCATTGTTCCATGCCATTCATCTTTCCATCCATTCATACATTCATTTCATCCATCCATTCATTTATCCATTCATGCATTCATTCTTTTATTTAGTTATTCATTCATTTGTTCTTTCATTCACTCATTCATTTGTTTCAGTATTTTTTGATTCACTTAAATTTATTTGCTAATCGATTGAAGCATTTTTTCATTCCTTCATTTATTCAATCAATCAATCAATCAATCAATCAATCAATCAATCAATCAATCAATCAATCAATCATCAATCAATCAATCAATCAATCAATCAATCAATCAATCAATCAATCAATCAATCAATCAATCAATCAATCAATCAA